CCTCCAGGAATTGAGTTTGACACCCCTGCTCTAAACGTTTGATGATATCAACACAAATAATAGATGTGTATGTAACACAATATATAAGTTAACAGTAGTCAAAACATTTTGTTTCAAAACTTAACTGGTTTGCCGCTATCGGTTCCCTAAAACCGTTTGAGTTAACTTATCTGGTGTTGCATAACTTTATGCTAATGTCCAGGCATCTCATCTTTAAATTATATACTTTGAAAACTATCCAAGATATTTATTATTTTGACTATAGATGTTCACAGTAGAAGTCAATACGCACATGTTGATGATGAACACAATTTCTGTGCTGAATTTTTAAATGAATAATCCTGATAACCAATTCTAGCCATTGAGCTGCAAACAAGGAACTCTATACTTTCCATCCAAAAACATAAACAATCCGTCTCCCCTTTCTCATTAGACGTAATTAATGTGCAGAATCCTGCTTATGTCAAGAGAATCCCTCATCAAACCGCCTACACATCTCCCGGCCTATCAGATCATCCGTCACAGTCCACGCACGCATGACTGTAACCTCCCGCTGACACCTCCACAACGCCTATTTATAGCCAATTCCAGCAAGACATGTCTCAGAGTCCTCTCTTCAGCCTTGTTTTCCCCCCAAACAGACTGCTTTGCTACAACCATCGTCAACAACAGCAGAACGGCCCTCTAATGTCGTTAAGCGGAGAAATCCATTGAATTGATTCCCTTTGTAATCTCATTGAGCAAACAAGGAGTGGTTTTAGGACCCTTTTTTTCTAGGCGAAAACCAGCACTCCTTCTAAGAGCTAATGGAAGTCGGGAAGATATGTATTTTTTATGAATCGAGAAGCAGAAATAGCACGCTGTTTGGTTTTATAGCCATGGAAACACCCACAAATGCACACACACAGACACACACACAGGTTTATGAGTCATCTGAACATGTGACTGCTTTGCTGACGTCAGGAGGGCTCGTCTCACCCCTCTTTTGCCCACAGAATGCAGTCAAATACAGCAGGGAAGATCAGTATTGAACATGTCATGCTTTTTCCTGGGAATAATATTTGTTGACATGGAATTGAACCAGATTTTGGTAAAAACCCAAACAACACAAACATAAAAATAAAACAAATTTTTTTAAAAAATTGATAAATAAGTTATGTGTAATAACAATGAAATGACACAAGGAGAGAGAACTGAACTACTAAAACGTATTTAATACTTTATATAAAAGGCTTTTTTTTTGGCAGCCTCAAGACGCCTCTATATGGAGAATGAAGTCTTATGCATTGCTCAGGTGTGAGTTTTTCACAGACTTCAACAGAGTGTTAAACTCTTGATGGTTCTAATGGGTCTAATCTATCAAGTCTAAGCTTTATTGAGTATTCTCTATTGGATTCATGTCAGGGGATTGGCTAAGCCATTCCACAGCTTGATTTTCTTTCTCTGAAAGCATTTGAGAGTTTCCTTGGCTGTGTTTTGCATCATTGTCTTGTTGAAATGTTCACCCTGGTTACATCTTCATCATCCTACTAATGTAGATGTTGGACTGAAACAGCTAATATTAATAAACACTGAAGAAGGGCAGAGGGTTGCTGAAGACCTACTGAAAGATTTCAGCTGCTGTTGTGGCTTTCACTGCCTTTCTACACCTTCCTTCATGTGTTCAATACTTGCGTCAAATCATTTTATTACACTTAACTGAATTTGTAAATTAGTTAGGTTTGTTTTCTTTGCATTTATGGATTTCTTTGGTTGTTACCAACATCTGGGGAAAATTTAAAGTCAACAGCACCTTTAGAAATATGTTTTCTGAGAAAAATGTTGACGTTCAATATTCATTTTCCCCGCTGTAACTCTGGGTTAACAGTGCAGAATCAGTCACAAACTACACAGGGCTTTCAATGAAGAAATATGTTCAGTGTTCTGATGTGCTCTCAGGGACTTAAGTATTTCTGCTGTATGATGGTTCTTGGTGGTGTGTAAAAAAAAAGACTATATTACAATCTTAAGCCTATTTTATGCTTTAAATAACAACAGCTGCATAATAATGTAACAGTTGAAGACAGAATTATTATCCCCCCTGCTTATTTCTTTCCCTAACTTCTGTTTAACGGATAGAAGATTTTTTCAACACATTTTTATACATAATAGTTTTAATAACTCATTTCTAATAACTGATTTATTTTATCTTTGCCATGATGACAGTACATAATATTTTACTATACATTTTTAAGACACTTCTACAGCTTAAAGAGACATTTAAAGGCTTAACTAGGTTAATTAGGTTAGAGTAATTAGACAAGGTATTGTATAACAATGGTTTGTTCTGTAGACAATCGGAAAAAATATAGCTAAAAGGGGCTAAATGACTTTTTTTTTTATTAAAAACTGTTTTTATTCTAACCGAAATAATGCAAATAAGACTTTCTCCAGAAGAAAGAATATTATCAGACAAACTGTGAAAATTTCCTTGCTCTGTTAAACATCATTTGGGAAATAT